GTCACATGACATCCAACATAAGATGATAGTTTTTGGTACATACAATTGCAAAGAGGATGAATCGCACTATCATGAAAAAGATCATATGAGTATATGAAGTTTACTAATGTAGGTGAACCTTAGTTGAGAAGATCTTCTAGACAACATTAACATTCCAAAAGATACTCTATAAATGAGTATGTGATGTTTACTTATGCATGTGAACTAGAGAGTTATCAGGAAGCAATTGAAAGTGAGTAGAAAAAAAAGTGGTTAGTTGCTATGTAGGAAGAGATAAATGCTTTGCAGAAGAACCACACTTATGATTTGGTGCAACTACCAAAGAGAATAAAGATATTGAAGAACAAGTGGTTTTCAAGTTGAAGACCCAAGAATATTGTTCTCAACCAAACTACAAAGCTAGATTAGTTGTGAAAGACTTTGGTCAAAGGAAATGTATTGACTTTAAATAGAATTTTTCTCATATTATTAAAATATCTTCTATTTGTGTTTCTCTTGGTATTGTTGTTAGCTTGGACTTGGAGGTTGAGTAATTAGATATGAAGGCAACTTTCCTTCATGGTGATTTGGAGAAAAAAAATTTATATGGAGCAACTAGAAGGTTTCAAAGTCAAAGGTAAAGAAAATTTTGTTTGCAAGTTGAAGACGAGATTATATAAACTAAAGCAAGTTTCAAAACAGTGGTACAGAAAACTTGATTCATTTATGATTGAAAATGGATATAAAAGAATGGCTTCAGATCATTGTATGTATATTAAACGGTTTGGTGAAAATTTTATTATTCTCTTACTTTATGTTGATGACACACTTATCCTTGAAAAAGATATGTTTACAATTGACAGGTTAAAGAATGAACTAAATGAATCATTTGCAATAAAGGATATGGGGCTAACAAAGTAAATACTAGGTATGCAGATTTCCCGTGATAGAAAAAAATAAGAAGATTTGATTATCACAAGAGAAATATATCGAGAAGGTACTAGAAAGGTTCAGTATGAGCAATGCAAAGCCAGTTGGTTCTCCTCTTGCAGGTCACTTCAAGTTGTGCTCAGAACAAAGTCCGTCAAGTGATGAGGAGAATGAGAAAATACAAAAGATTCTTTATACTTTAGCAGTTGGAAGTTTAATATACGCAATAGTATGTATGAGGCCGTATATCGCATATGTAGTGGGTGTAACTAGCAGATTTCTTGCAAATCTAGACAAAGAGCACTAGGCAACAGTGAAGTGGATCTTTAGATATCTCAAAGGGAGTTCTAAAGTTTGTTTAAGCTTTGAAGGTAGACCACTTATATTGATAGATTACATAGATGTAGATATGACAAGAGATATTGATATAAGGAAATCCACATATGGTTTTGTACTTACTTTTTTCAAGGGGAGCTGTATCATAACAATCCAAATTGCAAAGGTGTATTACTCTCTCTATCATAGAGGTAGAATATATTATTGCTACGGAGGTTTGCAAAGAAATATTTTGGATGAAAGAATTCTTACAAGAATTGGGACTGAAATAGGAAAACTATATGATGAATTGTGATAGCCAAAGTGTCATACATTTGAGTAAGAATCTAATTTTTTATTCTAAGTTAAAGCATATAGATATCAGATACCACTGCATTCGAAATATACTTCAAGAGAAGCAGTTACAACTTTAGAAAATTCATATAGATGATAATGGAGTTGGCAAATTGACAATGACCTTACCGAAAGAAAGATAAGAGATGTGCTGATAGTTGGTTAGCATGGTTTCACGTTGAGGAGTCATGAGACAGCCTCCTTTATGAACTAAAGGGGGAGGTTATTAGGCTGACAGCTCATGAGTTTAGCCCAGACTTTAACAGCCCATAGCCCACCTCTCTTTTGGGGGGTGTGGTAGCTATGAAAAATAGGGAGAAAACTATAACAACAGGGCATAAAATTGTAGTAGCAATATGATTTAAAAAGATGAGAAAAGGACAAAAAAATAAGAAAAAAAAAAGAAAAAAGTCAAGGATAATGTAGAGAGATTATTCTCAATTATTTAGATAGTATTCTCATCTAATGTTAGATCAGATCTACAGTAAATTTTTACTGTGATTACTTGGATGAAAAGATTTTAGATATTATACGTAGTGAAATAATCCTTGTATCCTAATTATTCTCTTATGATTATTGCTTGGGTTTTGGGCAAGAGGCTTTGAGATTTGTATATTCATTATTCTTATAGTATATTTTCTCTGGTTTACCCCATGATTTTTATCTTTTATGTTGGAGAGATTTTTCACGTAAATCTTGATGTCCTATTTTATTTTAATTATATTTAATTTTACTATGTTACGATCTACTTGTATTTATTCATATATAAAATTTATTCTTCTTTATATTACTATGTTACTATGTTACGATGTTACTTAATTATTATAAACGTGACAGAATTTTGTTACACAGCTCGCTGCCATGTGAAGAAACCTCCTGCCGCGCAATGTTTTCTGTAATAAACACCTAGTCAACTCGCTACAAGTCGTAAATTATACTTCTTTGGTTTGGGAGACAAGAATAGACTTCCTATTAACTTACAACAATAGGTATTGCTCTTTGCAGTCAATATTTACGATTAAGTAGGCCAATGGAAAGGGCGGATAGGGGAACTTTTTATAAATGCTAGTGCAAGTCGCAAGTAGACAATTCATATAAACATAAATTTGGAAGGATGTGATGACTCGTGGAAATGAGAAAGATGCCATACTCACAATAGAGATGAACGACTCATCTTTGTAATTTGGATTTATTTGATATCATAGCAGTGCCGTGAAGAAAGGTGTTTGGAATCGGGTTTTTGATGTAATCCAACCAGCATTGAAAGCTGTTCTTGGCTTGCTTCAATTTTCGATTCGACTCAAGTCGGATTAATAGAGTTGGGAGTAAGTCAATGGGTCAACATGTCCTTTCGTTTTGTACTTTTAACCTTCTTTTGTGTTATCACTAAGGTCAAACACTGCGTGACTGGGACGATTTTAGCTGGTAAATTCTCCGTCTTTAGATTTGTGCTCATGATCAGATTAATCAATTTTCGCTTGATGTTGAAGTGCTCGTGTTACATTGTACGTCTCCTCTTAATTAAAGCTTCGGATAATGTCTACGTATAATGACGTGTGTTCCTGTGATCGAGCAACTCGAACTTTGCAAGCCAATGTGTTTGGTAGGTCAATTCGGCCGATTTGATGCGGTAGGTAGGTATATGCACTCTTGACTTGTCGAGAAGACTTATGCGAGTAGCGGTTGATTTTTCTTTTTATAACAGATAGAAGAGAAATATAATAATCAGGAAAATAAATAAATAACTATGCTCTTGTTTAAGGATAACTATCAAATTTGACCTCATGTCACTCACACGCATATGATGGGGAAAAAGATTGATTCAATCTTTATTAAAGTGTTTTAGCTCCTTTATATGAAATAAATAAATATATATCTATATCTATTAATTCAAAAACCTGTGTTACAAGCTGCAGCTTGCCCATCAGAACACAAAAGGGAGTAAAAATCAGGATGCCAATCTAGCGTCCAAATCTGATTAGATTTTTGGTAAAAGAGACAAATCAGTAGGATAGTGATTACCCTCTCTAAAAGCGTGAATCACCCTCCACTCGACGATCAAGTTGAGTAGAGTAAAACATTCACCAAGAGGGCTAAGAAGGAACCAAGAAGGAGGTTTCTCCTTGTTCAAAGCTTCTGCAATCCATGCTATATCAGCTTCAATCATAAGTTTATTTGCACTCAAATGGATTGTAGCCAAAATGTTCTCCTTGACTATCAAAAATTCATTTGTCCAATCGCTGCCACATGAATGAAGCTGGAAGAGCGCAAGCATCACTGTTCTTAGCGTAAAGTCAGCACCTCCCAACTTCGATTGGTCCTCGAAGGCCCATCAGGTTCAGCTTGGTCCACTTCGCAGCAGCGTGCGACCAACACATTTGAATTGAACTTACTTGTGAATTCATGGGCCGTATCCCTTCTGGCTGGTTGATAAAAGAGCTGTCATATAAGAATGGCAAATCATAAACAACACTACAAGTCATAGAGGGCTGCATCCCGTCGGGCATAGTGGTGTTGGCCCTACTTGTGAATGAGAAGTCAACAACAGCGCCTCAGAGTACAGGAGAAGCATATTTATACTGATTGAAAAACTTATTATATGAATTTAGCAACTCACAGTATAGGCTAAGTATAGTTGACTTTACAGAAAGGTTGGCAGAGACTAATTATTTATAGTTAGTGGCCCTGTCTGTACTTACAGAATAATCATGTTCTATGATTGATTAAAATAAAAAGGAATGATGATGAAGACGACCAAAACCATGGTGGAATTATTGTACACAAACTTCCAAAGTACATGACAGTAAAAGGCAACACGAGGGAAAAGAAAAGAACAAAGAAGAAAACATGCAAGGCAAAACAATTTGTGAAATTGATGACATGAGAATAATAAGAAGCGGAACAAATTCCCTTTTCTTTCAAATTTTAATGTTTTATATTTTGTTTAATATTTTAGTTTATTTATATTAATAACGGATGAATTTATTAGATACACATCCATGGTGCATATTATTTGTCGATGATAATGAGATTTCAGATAGAATTAGTTTTCCATTCAAGTTAGGGAGATGATAATAACCTTGAGAAATTTAAAGTTTTAGTTAAAAACAATTTATCTTTTATTAAAAAAAGGTTTCAAAATTTTTTGGACCTATTAGCAAGATCCAAAAGTTAATGAAGACGTTATTAGTAGAGCGAAATTGAAGTGGTTCAAAAAAGGACAGGTATTATGAGTTGTGTGAACATAAACAGGCAATAGGGCGAAAAGCCAAACGCTTCTTATTAATCATAATCATGGTGGTGAGAGAACAAAGAGATGAGACATCAGCTGTGCTGTAAGAGCAAAGACAATGGGCGACTTCCAACGACAAAGAGACAACAAAGTATGGATGAAGAACAGAACACACATGCAGAGGTGAATGACAGCTGCTCAGTAGTGAAAGATGTATGCATCGTACTCCACCACAAGCACGATTTCGGTAGTCCCAGTTCTCCTGATGAGCCTACTAATGGTGTAGCCCCGGGCCATTCGGAACTTGCCGGTCCCTCCGATGATACCCCGCTCCATCGTCTCTGTGAGCACCGCCCGGCCGAAGATGGAGATGCTGCTGCCGTTGTACTCCCCGGCGGTGAACACGAAGTTGAACGCGGAGAGGTAGGCCGGGCTCTCCAAGGACGCCTGAACGGCCAGCTCCTGCGCTCTCCCGATGAGCTTGGAGCTCGGGTTGGGCCCTTCCCTAAGCATGTTGTCGCCCACCCCGATGCTCCCGAAGTTGTTGAACGAGTTGTTGCCGGGAGGGTTGACGACGGTGATGGTGGTCGTGTTGGGGCCGCCGTAGATCTCGTGGAAGTAGAAGTGCAAGTGGGTCATCTTCTCTTTGGGTGCAGCATATACATGTCCGCTTGCAGGGGCAACGTTGGCGAAGGCAAAGAGGTGGAGGAGGAAAAGAAAGTATGCAGATGAGGCCATGCAGACACTTGCAGGAATCATCAAGCGGCTGTAGGATTGGGCGGCGAGGCACCAGAGTTTGTGGGCTTTTATAATCAAAAGAATAGGTCGAATAGAGGCCTTTATTTAAGCTCATTCATGCCAATTTGCTTCCCGTTCATAGTACAAAAAAATTCACAAAATAGTACATCGTTACTTGAATATTATAAAAAGTATTATATTTGGTTATTTTTTTAAGATCATTAATATTCTCAGCAGATTAATATCAGTAATTATAGAATGATGATATGGGAATGATAAGTTTCTAATAAATAAAGTGAAATTATCATTTTTTTTTGTGTCCGATAACCCCTATAAATGAATAAAGATTTGTCAAGTATAAATCCAAAAATCTAAGTCAGGTGCTAACATGGTAAATCTATTATAAATATGATAATTACTATCTTCTAAAATAAACTTTCAAAGATAGTAAAACTTGAGAGGACAACAATTTAACTATTATATCAAGTATGTAAAATGATTAGTTACAGGTGTGTTGCAAGCAGGGAAAGCTCATCATTTGTCTCATACTTTGTAAACAACAAATTACATGACATCTAAAAGCATCTGGATACTTCAAAATTAAGATTTGCTGGTAATCCCATTTTGAAAATAGCATGAATATATAATCATATAAATGATTTAGGCAGCCTACTAATACCATCACGGAATGTATAATCTTGAGCCATATATATTCTATGATTATATGATCATGAAAATCTGAGAACTGGGGGACCAGATGAGCAATAATTCGTGGCTTCCTCAAGGGAATTGGGGGACCAAATATGAAGCCTCTAGCCTCAATTCCTGTCGAGAAAAACTCAATTATTGTTATAACGATGTTCCAAAATTTTGCACAGATTCCAATGATATGTCCAAGGAAAAAACAACAAGGAGTTGGAGGATAAAAAAAACGAAATTAAATGCAAGGATACAGGTTGGATTTATTGTCAGACCAAATCTTATCTAAATTTACATGTCTTTTTTTCTGAAAGCTCAAAATATTGTGCAAGTCATATACAGGTTGAATTTAGGTTACAGAACTTGATCATATCCATAATTCAACATAATACAACAGTGAAGATTAAAATGATAACCGTCAGGATCTTTAATTGAGAATTTGCTCAAAGGGATAAGGTTGCACATATTGAACATTCTAGAATCCCACATGGTGGAACCCTCATACAACTACAAAGCCCTCATATTTTATTATTTGCATATCAAAATTTCAAAGCAGTATAAGAATCAACATTTCAAGAAAAGACCAACATGCAAACATAGTAGTTTATGCATCACATATTTCTACAGCACATTTTTTATGAACCCCGATTAATCCATATGTAGCTTTCAGATTGGTATCATCAATCTTTGCTACATAAGATGAGTACAAAACTTAACAACATTAGGCCATAAGGAATTCCATAATATTTATTATGGTTAAAAATTATCAAAATGATAATATTTGGTTCGAGTACTTCAGATTCACTTCGTATAGCATCGGCCATCTTACAAGTATCAAATAATTTGTATAGAGTCTCTACAGAGACGGGTGAGACACTATCTATCCCATATACCATACAATAATACTATATATAGTCCCATCACATATTTACTCAGTTAATGTCAATTTAGAAAATTTAGGATTTCATCTGTGCTTGACCATTACAATTACCATCAACATTATCTCTACAAGATATAATCTAGTAAGATCATATCATCAGATACAAAAAAAAAAAAAACTATTCACTTGCATGTAGAAAAAGAGAAAATATATTGTGTTGGTCATGTAATTCTAACATGGATATGCCCAAAGGCAATTAATTTAATAATGAGTGGAGACGCAAAGCAAGATCTATGACAAGCATAATCAATGGTAATAAGAAATTTATTGCTACCAGTTTGACCAGTGACTTGCAACACAGCGCAGTAGCAGGAAATAGACCCTAAAAAGTTACATTCTTATGGCTTGTTGTCAACGGAGAAAGTGTTCGAAGGCACTGTAAAAGCAGACAAATGTAGAGGCCCATCAAACAGTAGCAATGCTTAGCAGCAAATCATCATCTTAGTTATTCAGTAAATATTTATTAAATATTATCATATATATTTTTACGTAAAATAATTCACTGATCAATAACACCTAATACATCATAATTATTAGGATTTATGTCATATTCAATTTTATCTTATAATATTTCTTTAGTAAGACATCACCACTATCATCGTCTTTATCGTAATAAAATGAGCCATTTAAGTTTATAAAAAGAATCTCAAAACGTGAGTCATTTGACAAAGGATTTCACCTAAGTTTGATGTCTTACCTAATATTCATCTATCAATATCATAAAAAACTGAAAATATTTTATCAAAAATAGAATCCTTCATACAAAGAGATCATTAGAATTAAAAATTTTATTTTTTAAATCAAGGAATTAATATAATAGTACAGAATGAATTAATATACTTACATAATTTTTTTTGTCTTATTCAAGAAGAAAGGAAAGATAAAAAACAAAGAGATGGGTAAGAAGAAAAATGACAAAAGAGAAGCTTTTTGTTTCTTCATCGAGATCAGTATGACAGCAACTTATTGTACACTGTACTAGCCACTTTGTATATCTTCTTAACAGAGTTAAAATGTTAAATCGGTAATGAACTATCTCAACCCAAATCGATTAGCAATACCTTACTAAACCAACGGTCCAAGAGCCACTGTTTTGGGCAGAAAACAATGACTTAGCTATCCACGAATAAATGGATAGAATAACTCACCAAGGGATACTATTTTCGAAGTAGGAACCCTATGCAAGAAAAAGATAAAGCTAGAAATTTTTCTTATGAATATATGTACATATATCTCACATGAACTGAACTGGTCAACGTTGGTAGGTTATTACTACCGTTGACACACTTCATTTATTGTTAAACTGCAAGGAGAGGATGATTCTGATGGATGGATTTACTATCATCTTCAAGTTACTATCATCTTTAAGTCGTGTGATATCCGATCAATCAACTTAACAAGTCCAATTAAGGTGTTACGATTAATGAGAGAAGAATGTCGTACCAACCATGACGACTGGATTCAATTTAAAAATGTCACACACGTCAGCACATGAAGCCCAATTTTTTCCACAGATTAGACTTCTTATCGCAAGTGGAAGGAAAAAAGAATTGTGACAGGACATACTATTTGACGGAGTGGAACCAAACAGCGACAACTAAGACTAAGCTGTCCCAATCCAACCAAATAATAGGAAGATGTCGCCGGCACGACTACGCCGCTCGAAGTCTACGTTGTATTCTCTTTGTTTAATGTCTGCAAACCAAAAAAGAAAAAGGTCTTTTTATATAAGATCTCAAATTTCTAATGCAGCTTCCACTTACCGACATAATTGGGATCGTTTGTTTATTAATGCTGTGATGCAGGTTTGGAGTATGAGTGAGTCCGGTGCCATTGACGTTGACATCATTTAAGGAAAAGGTTATCTAAGACAAGCAAAGCTGATAATGGCTGACTTCCTCCACGTTCAAAGATAAAAGAAGACAACATGTCATCATGGAAGATACACAAACATAACAGTGGCATATGAATGCAGAACAAGCCACAAACAGGATTTATTAACCACACAAGGAAAGGCACCAGCAGCAGCAGGCAACTCACAGGTAGTGAAAGATAAAGGCATCATACTACACTGCGTTACAAAACAAAGCCCTTATACCATGGGTGACTCACAGAATCGTAGAGATGTAGAAGAAGCAACGAGCAGGTTTTATTGCAACACACAAGGAGAGAGAGAGGCAGCTCATCAGCACTAGTGATAGATATAAGCATCGTACTCTGACACAAGAAAGAGTTCGGTGGTTCCAGTTGAACTGATGAGAGTGCTGACCGTGTAACCCCGCGCCATCCGAAACATGCCGGTCCCTCCGACAATGGTCCTCTCCGAGGTCATGCCGAGCACCTCCCTGCCGACGATGGCGATGCTGCTCCCGTTGTACTCTCCGGCGGTGAACACGAAGTTCAACATATAGAGGTACGACGGGCTCTCTATGGACGCCTGCGCGGTGAGATCGTTCGTCCTTCCGATGAGCATCGAGCTCGGCTCGGGCCCTTCCTTCAGGATGTTGTTGCCCACCCCGATGCTCCCGAAGGTGCTGTTGCCGGGTGGGCTAACAACGGTGACGGTGGTCGCGTTGGGGCCGCCGTAGTAGACGTGCAAATAGAAGTGCAGGTGGGTCATATTCTCCTTGGGTTCATCGCTGCTCACAATGGCAATAGCGGCAAAGAGGAAGAGGAGGAGAAGAGGGAGGGATGGAGACGAGGCCATGGGGAAGCTTAGGCAGGGGGTGAAAAGGTGGATGGAGGATTGGAGGGAGAGACATGAGAGGTCCGTGGGCTTTTATAACCAAAGGAGTAGGTAGAACAATGTTCTGTGTTGAAGCTCAAGCTTGTAATAAGACATGCAGTTTTGCTTCAATTCAAACGGAGACATCACGGTTTCTATTTATGCATGTCCTAAAGAAAATAAATTACATTAGTTCGACTCTTTCATGCAAACGGCACATAATGTATATGTGACGGTCAGGTTTAGGGAACTTATAAAACATTCATATGGATAAGATATAGATAAAGACGAGGAAGATATTGGTACCTATTGCAAAGATTAATTAAATTGGATGACGTTGGATTTGGTCCACTACTTGGCAATTTCAACCTTAAGGCTATATTGTGTCCAATCTCCCACATATGGTGGTCAGATTATTCAAACAAGGTAGATTGAGTATGTGATCTTGTCAAACTATGATGCGTGTGAATGAAATTGAAGCTACATGTGATATGTATAAAAGTCCCAACGTAGGCAAAATGTCAATACTGAAAGAGAGATGTATAAATTTGCAGCACATGATCAGCACAATCATCCACAGTTCCCTTCATGCTTACTGAGAGATCAGCATACATTTTAGTCAAACTGCAAGCATCCGAAGAAGAAACAATTCACAGCTTTGAGCACTGATTCACTGCATTCTCCACAGCTCGTCCTTGTCTCACCCATGGATGCATGCCGATGGATGGCAACATCTTCTATAACGAAACTGTTCGAAGGATGAGCGTGCGATGGACGGCGTTGGAGGTGGCATTTCTCTTACGCCGTTGTTTCGGAACTTTCGCTAAATCTCCTGTGGATTTGGTACCTTACGGTAGCTGATGAAAAAGACAAAAACATCCTCCCGATCGAGTGAGTAGGTGGAGATTTGGAAGAACAATCTGCTCATAAATAATCGTAATGGCCTCTTCGAGGACATCGATCCCATTAAATTGCAGAGTCGTTTATTTTTGTTTTGGACATTTCTCTTGCGCTATCTGAAAAAAATGCAAACTCGGAATTGACAAATATGGACACAGAAGAAGTCACAGGTAGGCTGTACCATCACAGAAACGTAAACATGCCGCAACCAGCATTCATACCAATACAAAATAAGAGGTAGCGGGCACCTCACCATCGTTGAAAGTGACGCATGTGTGTTCTCGTGGTTTAAATTAAGAGACACGAGTGTTCAAAGTATTGGGCAAATTCACAAAAAAAAAATTATTATTTTTATTTTTTAAAAGGAGACTGCCATTTGTAATTTTTTTATTATTTATAACTCTATGTTAAGAAATTTGAATATTTCTAGATTATCCATTTATAAATAGATGTAAATGTAATTAATTTATAACTTAATTTTAATAGAATCTTTTTATTCTTTACCTATAATCTCTTTTCTTTCCTCCATTTCGTCTCCTCTTAATCATCGAATGTGATATAAAATGATAAATAAAAATATATGATGAAATGAGATAAATTGAATATTAAAAAGAAGGTAAAAAATATTTTTTGACGGTTACAATGATTTAAGATTATATGCATTCTATAATAGCCCAAAAGATATTATCTTCTAAGTTAGTTATATTAACTTAAGATATTATATTTTAGATCTTTGCAAACTGCCTAGTAGGATGCATGGGTGGTGAGGAGAGTTGACGATAATAGGGTGTGCAAGTGAGGGGCTATCGGGAAGGAAAAAAAGAAAAAGAGAAGAGTAAAAATGAAATTAGAGCATGAATAGTAAAATATTATTTTATTATTTCTTAAAAGATTGTGAATAACAAGGGGTTATGAATAGTAAGGAGTCTTTAAATAGTAATCTCTTTTTCTATTAACATCCACTTTTTCATTCATTTTCATAGATGTTCTTTATTTCCTAAAACATAAAATTGCTTGTGGCCTCACCTTTGTCTATTGTTGTTGTTCATTGCCTCTACCCCACCATAAGGCCTCGTTGCCCTCACCTCCCCTCCTATTTTTCTGACCTGGAAGGCACCGGCAACACAATAGCCCACAATCACACTTCTCTTTATCATAATGGCATTACCTACATGCTCAATTGCGTGAGTGGCACATGCCCCCAATCACTTTTGTGGTGAGCTAGCTATTGTATCTTTGACTATGTAATTGCCCCATCGAGGACCTCGTTTTCGTCCTCTACAGTCCCTTCAACTTCCTCGAGCACACTCATTTCTTCCCATACCGTTGCATAGTCATCCACTACTCTTGTGACTCCCCATTGCCCCTTTTATCTTCCTTTGCTTGTGCTCCCCTCTCCTCCCCTCTTCCTCTATTGCCCTAGTCTCCTCGTTGCATACTCACTTGCCTCCACTCCCCTGCTCGCCAACCACTGAGTCCACCTTAAAAGCATATAATGATTAGGGATGATCTCAACAACCCTCAATTGAACCAGACAAGCTCTATTAAAGCATCCCTAGAAGTCTCAAAGTCTTATTTGTTGAGATTTGATTCTAGTTATTTATCTAGATAGTTATCATGATCTAGTAGTTATAGGATGATTTCAATAACCACCTCAATCATGATCTAGTAGTTATAGGATGATTTCAATAACTACCTCAATCTAGTAGTTATAGGGTGGTTGTCACTAGGTCCTATAAATAGGACCATAGTTCATGAAGCAAATAGAGTGAGTCTGTGTGCATTTGGTATCTTGTAAGTGTTCTTATCAATCCTTCTGTTTTTTAATACTATATCAGTTTTCTTGAGTCGAAAGGCTTCTTTTTACTTGTATCGTAGTATTCTGTTTTTTCTTTGCTCCTCCATCCCCAACATTTGTGGTATCAGAGCGTAGTTTCAATCTGAACTGGGCATTATGGCTTTTAACGGTAATTCCATGTCTCAACCCCTTATCCCCATCTTCTCGGGAAAAAGCTATGAATTTTGGAGTATCAAGATGAAGACTCTATTCAAGTCTTAAGATCTTTGAGACTTAATAGAGAATGAATATGCAGATCCAGATGACGAAATCAGGCTGAGAGAAAATAGAAAGAAGGACTCAAAGGCAACCTCAAAGGCTGAGAGAATGTACATGAGACGATCTTCTCAAGAATTACAGTAGCGACAACCTCAAAGCAAGCTTAATTGATACTTCAAAATGAATTTCAAGGCTCATCAAGGGTGATTACAATAAAACTTCAAACCCTCCGTCGTGAGTTTGAAATTTTGTTCATGAAAAGTAATGAATCGATGCAAGATTTTCTTTCTCTAGTGACTAAAATTGTTAGTCAAATGAAATCTTATGGTGAACATCTTCCTGGTCATATAATTGTTGCAAAAGTTTTGAGAAGTTTAACTCCAAAATTTGATATGTTGTTGTCGCAATTGAGGAGTCAAAAGATTTATCTACTTATTCATTTGATGAACTAATGGGTTCCTTGTAAGCACATGAAGTAAGATTGAATAGGTCACTTGAAAAAAGTGAAGAAAAAACATTTCAGGTTAAGAGGGAGTCTTCTACTTCAAAAGAATACAAAAAATCAACAGGAAGAGAACGTGGCAGAGGAGGATTTTGTGGTAGAGGAAATGGAAGAGGAAGATGACACTTTGATGGGCATGATGAACAAGGGCAATCAAATTATGATAAAAAAAAATTATAAATTACTGGAAAAGAGAAAAGCAAGCAAGCTATGTGGAGAAAAATGAAGAAAATAGTAAGTTGTTTATGACTCATTCACAAGTTCATAATATCTCAAATGATATTTAGTTTCTAGATAGTAGATGTTCTAATCATATGTCAGACATAAAATTAATATTTAGAGATATTGATGAGACTCACAAGTTGAATATTAGACTTGGAGATAATAAGCAAATCCAAGTGGAAAGGAAAAGAACAATTGAGGTGAAGACAAATCAAGGGAAGGTAAAATACTTGATAATATTTTCTTTGTTCCTACTTTATCACATAACTTGTTGAGTGTTGGACAATTAGTAGATGATGGATATACAGTAATATTTGATGATGGTTCATGCACTATTAGAGATAAAAATCTGGTTTGATTATAGTAAATGTTTGCATAACACAAAACAAGATGTTTTCACTTGATGTGTCAAATATTGACAGACATGCGGTTATCACAACTCAAAAGAATGAGTCTAGTTTATGGCATTTAAGATATGGACACCTTAATATTAAAGGTTTAAGGTTGTTAAGTCAAAAAGGAATAGTTTTCGGATTGCCCAAAATTAATACACTTGATGTATGTGAAGGATGTATTTATGGCAAACAAAGTAAAAAACCATTTCCTATTAGAAAAGCATGGAGAGCATCCAATTGTCTTGAATTAATTCATGCTGACTTATGTGGACCTATGAATACAAAATCATTTGGTGGAAGTCAATATTTTTTATTGTTTAAGGATGATTATAGTCGCATGAGTTGGGTATATTTTTTGAAATTAAAATATGAAACATTTGATAATTTTCAAAAGTTTAAGGCACTTGTAGAAAGGAAAAGTGGTAGATATATAAAGACACTTGGGACAGATAGAGGTGGTGAATTTTTATCTAATAAGTTTAGTTCTTTTTGTGAAGAAAATGGTATTCACAGAGAATTGATAGCACCATATACACCGGAGCAAAATGGTGTAGCTGAACGTAAGAATCGGACTGTCGTTGAAATGACAAGAAGTTTACTTAAAGGAAAATATCTTCCAAATCAGTTTTGGGCAGAAGCAGTTGCAACAGTAGTTTATTTGTTGAATATTTCACCAACAAAGACTGTTATAAATCGAATTCCTTTTGAGGCTTGGTATGGTATGAAACCAAGTGTTAGACATCTAAGAATTTTTTGTTGTATTACTTATGCTTTGGTGAATTCACAAAATCATCACAAGCTTGATAAAAAATCTAAAAAATATATTTTAATTGGTTATTTTTTACGATCAAAAGTATATCGATTATATAACCCTGTTAGTGGTAAAGTTATTATTAACAGAAATGTTATGTTTGATGAAAGGGCAAGTTGGAATTGGGAGACCAATAAAGGTGAAACACAAATG